ATTCTGAACCCAATGAAACCACATACACACACATCCTTTTAAGTTTTATTTATATTTCTTAGTTCAAGAATTACACACTAGCCAACATTATTATATATTTACATGCTGAAACTGGCTGTAATAAGTTTAAATTCAAGAAAATAATTCTTATGTGCTACTCATTTATAATCCTCATTTGTTACTATCTCATGTATCCCAGAGATTTTAGTAGTCCTGTTTTTTAGAAAGACATGAAAATAGATGCAATGATATCCACTTGTGTTTTGCATTTTCTAGCCATTGGAAAATGTGCATTATGTGCATATTAAGAAAGGCTACAAGGTAATTAGTAAGGCTGATAATCACTACATTGTGAAGAAACTAGAATATCACTTTTTATAAAAGGACAATTCAGAACTGTGCAGGGACAATATTCATAACAGAACTATTTAAACACCCATGCAAATAAAATTTTAAAAATGCTATGGAATTTAAATCATTTGCAACTTTTTTTGAAATAATTATGTTTAAAATGACCATGATTGAACTCAAGTTACTGAACCAAAAAGGAAAAGATACAAGCCGATGTAGCTGTCAGCTTGGTTCTGGTGGTGCAAAAACACACAAATGGGCATCAGATTAGGAGACATTTGACAGGAGAGAGACGTTTGTTTTGAAAGTTAAAAAAGACAGAGTTTTGTTTGTCATTATACTGGATCATATTTTTCACAAAAGAACTTCTCAAAGCAAATTAAAATCTGATGTCAGAATTTTTGCATGTGTCTACAGAAATGTTTCACTTCAATTTTTAAATAATAGATTTTTAAGGGTGTTGCTGCTTTTTTTTTTCCTTAAACAATTTCTTTAGGGCAGTATCTTAATTAGTATTCTGTTGGCTCCTTACTAGTTTTTACAGTGTTTCTAGTGTATTTGGAAAATATTTTTTAAACCTTTGGTGTGAAGCAGTCTTTTTTTTTTTATTTTCCCCTATTTTTCCTTTTTTCTTTCCTTTTTCTGTTTTTTAATAATTCTGGAGTCTTTGGTTAAAAGGAATAATACTATCTAAAGACAAAATGCTATTATTAAAAAAAAGTCTTGTGTGTATTATGTATAATAAACTTCTGGAACAGGTATGAATAATAAGCACTTTTATTTCCTGTAGTGCCATCAATATAAACTTTTACTCTTTTAAAATTGAGATTTAAGTTACAACCTTTGGTGTCTTGAACTTTGACATATAAAAAAATCTATCAAGTTATCCATGATCATTTCTGCTTTTCCCATTTCCATTTCTAAGGCTGTCTCTTGGTTGTTACATTGACTACATAAACACTACAGCATTTCCCATAAAGGGGATGAGAGTGGAACTGAGTGAGCGGAAAGTGAGAGTAAGTGTGTTTGAATGTGTGTGTGTGTGTGTCTGTGTCTGTGTGTGTGTTTGTGTGTGTATGTGTATATCTGTGTGACTGTGTGTGTGATAGCAACTTGAAACCCTTCTGTCTGGGATCCCAAACCATTTATGCAAAAGGGTGTTTAAATTACTCTGCTGGGGCACTGCAGTAACTGTACTTAGTAAAAAATAAATAAAAATTAAGAAAAAATTAAACAATTATTTGTATCTATTGACTATTAATTTACAGCATGTTGAATTATTTACATAGTATTATAACACATGAACATAAGCCATAAACAGAATTAGCACGTTGCCTTACCATAAAATACAAATTAGAAGTTAAAAATATTTAAGAAATCTGTTTTAATATTTACACACGCTCAGTGAAAGTTATGGTTGCTCACATTACATGGACTCTGTACACTTAGCAAAATGGCATGATTGCTACAGTTGAGAGTATTTGCCCTAACCAACATGGTGGGGTTTAGTTATTTTTTTTTTCCTCCTTCAAGGAGGAATTTTTTAAATCATTTTCTGTTTTCTTAAGACTTTGTTTTTAAATCACCAATAGACAATGTTATTTGTTTCCTTGAAAAAGAGAGCAAGTAGACAAGCAATGTGAGAACTAGTTAATTCCCGATGTTCTGAGGTACAGTACTATTGTAGTGTCAGACTGTGCAATGGTTCGAAAGAACTGTAGGCATTGATCTGCTGATAGAGAAATGCTCAGTACCCTGTATTACTAGTTTCAATATGTTGATTTGTTGGTTGCCAATTAAAAATACTCATACATTGGTTTAATGAAGGAAATAAAACATATTAGCTTATTCCTTTTGTTTTCCAACATATGAATGCATATATATGTATTTATGCTTACATGGATCTATATATACACATATATACATGTAGATATGTTGTAAGACCTGTTGTTGATTGTTTTGCTGTTTTTGTTGTTGAGTATGAATTTAATCATAAGACTGGAACACAGTTACTTATAGAAAATGGAAATTGTGTTAGTTGCCAATTTAATGCAGGTCTTGTTTAAAATGAACATGATTCATTTTCCCGCTGCATTCCACTGAACTTTCTCTATGTGTTGTGCTTTTATAAGCTGACAGACTTTTTGTGTTCCTAATACTAGAATGTAAAGTCTTTTGGTTCATAAACCATTTTTATTATTATTATTATTATTTTTACTTAGCACTGCTTTTGAAGACATGAGAAGAGAAAAGGTCTAGATGGCACTGCTTAAGTATTTTCCCCTGTTATTAAATTGCAGTAGAAAGAATTGTAACATTCCTTATGCAAACACATGATTATGTTGCATGAGTTTTCAATTCTGAAAATGCATTTCATACCTACTAGCAGTCATGTACAATATATATATACAGATTGAGATCAAAGATTTCATTTAGACTGTGCATTTTAGAGTCAGAATTTGCCTATGAATTTCACAAAGATGAAAAACACCTTAATTGCTGGCTATCTGGCTGTTTCATAATCAAAAGAAAAACTATACATATATATACATATATGTATAAAGTGATAGTAATACCATATCAGAATTGCCAAAACACATTTTTGTGGTCCTTAAATTTAACCACTGGATACCAAGTTGACTGGTCTTCATAGACGTATGAGATCTAGCACCCCTCCCCAACCCGCCCCCAGTATGGTGACTACAGTCCAATTCAACTACAGTAAAAATATAGTTAAAAATAAATTCTACATCTACTGTTGTCTCTGGGCAGGATGAGTCAGTTGTTTCTACCTACGTGGTTATTGAATGCCAATATATGGAGTTCGTTCTGGGGTGTCTGTTTCAAGCTCCCATCTTTCTCCTTTTTCTGGTTTCTTCTTATCACTGCAAGCAGAAATGAATCCTTGGTCATATGCTTTTCAGGCTCACACTGCAAGATTTCTTCTCTCACTTTGATCTAGATTACCATGTTGACCTCCCTGGACGTTGAGATTTTGTTGTAACCATAAATGACAATATCAAGGATTTTTATGGCTTTTATGATAATTGCAAATAAGAGCCCACTGCTAGACTTGGGCTCTGAGTTGTCTCTAGAAAAACCTTTCTAGGATGGCATTTTGGAGTTGTGCACCTGAGTTATCGATATGCTCCTTCTTGATATATGCTATTCAAACTTTAACTCCTGGCAAAAAGGGACAGGCACGTTTATTAGTGTGATGCCCCAGAATGATTGCCTGGGAGAAAGTGTGTCCCTGGAGAAACTTGAGAAATTTCAACTCTGAGCCCATGGGCGGAAACTTGGTTGGATTCTGCCCAAAGATCATACTCAGAGGTGTTCAAGTGTATAATAAAAAAATAAAGGCCAGAGTTCCCTTTGCTGGTGAAGGAAAAAAAATACCTCCCATCTTGGAGCATAAAATTTAGAAAGCTGAATGCTAAACCTTTTTTCCCCCTTCTCTTTCTGATAGTTGGAATAGGAGGGCAGCAGGACTCCATCATATTCCAGGCTGCTGAATTATCAGGGGAAAAAAAAAAACATACATTTTATCCATAGGAAAATACTGGCCTTGCCTACTATGCACAATTAGGGATGTTACTTTGAAAATAAGTGGGGCTTTTTTTGTTTTTAAAATAGAAATAGCAAAGTCATCCTCCAAGAAAACATTCAATCAAATCAAAATTTAAGGAGAAACTAGCAACTCACTATTTTCTCCAAGAAAAGCAAACTATGGACCTCACATTGATAGAAATAAAATATATTAGCTTATCTCTTTCCTGTCTCACATATGACTACATATGTCCAATTAGTATAGAAAGAAGCACATTGACATAATTTAAAAATTGAATAAAAACAATACATCATACCTGCTGATCAGTTATATATTTTTCTGTAATATCAACTGAGACTCATAACATTCATCATGTTTTGTGGCTTTGTTTTTATCCTATTCTACACTACTTTTCATGTTTTCTTTGATTCAGCTGATTGCAACATACACAATGAAAGCACCCTTAAAAAGTCAAACCCAACAAACCCACAAACTAACTCTACTTGTGCACATAATTCTTTACGTATTGTTTGCTATGAAAAATACAAAGATGAATGTCATTGCACATAAGGAAATGTAGTTCAATTAATCTCTCCAAAGTCTTGGTTTGTCTCCTAAGAATATAATCAGGATTTCAGAAACAAGAAAAGGTGGTAAAGGACCATTAATCCTTTAAAGAAATGAACAAATCCTTCTTTTGAAATACCCTATTAAACTCAAAAATAAACTTAAGGGAAATGTTGTAGAGACAGCTGACGTTGTGTGAGAAAATCAACCTGTCTGCTAGCTTTATCTGTGCTCTATATTAGTATATTTGAATGACTCCCAATCTAATCTGCATCTAAGAAAATCCTAATTTTGCTAACTTTTCTATTTTGTGGTTATCTTTTGATTAGATAAACTATAAAAACCTCTTTAGGTATGATGTCAAAAGCCTGTGAAGTGGGGAAAAAATCTATCTCACTGGACCTTTTGCCATTATACAAAATATGTATGAACCAGATGCTATGTGGGGCTGGTAAGGGTCATGCTGCTCACTTGCCTTAATTTTGTTACAACAGTCATTTCTGGATTTTCCACTCTGCTCTGGATTATTAACTCTTATTTTAACCACCTAGAAATAGCCTTTTAGAAACATTTCTTGGCCACCATGCATGATGATGTTCAGTAGTCCCCAGTTTCTAAATGCCAAAATGGAAGACATCAGAGTTGACTCCCTATGCTCAAGCAGAGACTAGCCAAATTGGTTACCAAGTATGTGCCTTCACTCTCCCTATCCTGTTTGAACTACATGAGAAACTTCCAGAATCCAGTGGGAATTATTTTCCCATGACACACCATTATCACCTTAAGACAGGCATAGGCCATCTTCAGTAAGCATGTTTGCATGGCATTGCAGATAATGTTTCATAAACACAGTGCCATCTCAACAGCATGCCAACCTTAGAAATGAAGATGGGGAATATCTGGATATGACCACTTCTCAGAAAAATGACTGGCAATGCTACTGAGCCCTCTAAGAATATCTTCTAAATAATTGCCCTCTATATAGGCTGCATAAGCAGAAAAAGTGGAACATTCAGACAGTCTTGCCAGCATGTGTACAAATCACTTGCATTTTAACTGGAAAACCACAAGGACTTTAGTGTATTCATTACTTAGCAGAAGCAACCCAAATGGTATGAAATGGACCACAGGATAGGCCAGCAACTAAGGTATTTTAGCATCACTTTTGTCCTGGATTGATGTGTTTTCCAAGTCCTACGTCAGGCTGTACAACTGGTTTGAGGAAGAATCTAGTCCTTGCTTCCCATGGGGGGCTGTTTTAGTTCACATAATAAAGCCAATAGACGATGTTGAAGAAGGAAAAGACCACGGGGAAGAATATGCGGGACCACCGATCTATGGCATTCACATCAGTCAAGTCGGGGATGGTGATTTTCAGTTGGGAGGCGCGTCTCCGCAGGCGGCTTTTCTTTTGTGCCACATGTCGCTCCAGGGCATTTCGGCCAAAACTATGCCTGGGTAATCCGGCTTTCCGATATTGGATGCTGGAGGCATCATAGGCCAACATTGTGCTCCTGGGGTCTCCAAGTCCCATCACAGCCTCAGATGTGGCCATTTCATTTTTTATCTCAAGCGTGCTCAGTAAGATGTTCTCATGTGGGTCCATCTGCAAGGAGAAGAATTGAATGAGATAAAACAGTAAGCCTTTATTGGTGTTAATTATGCAAGATGCTAGTATATGTGATCTAGGTAATATTTATCAGAGTGGTTAAGAGAAGAGGCTTTGAGGTTACCTCATCTAAGAAGGATAACAGACAAACAGTATGGCTCATCATCTGACTAAACCCAAACTAGTGCATCATTTAGAGCCATTTGAGATCACTGGGGATCATGAGGCTATGAGGTGAGATGAGTATACAGTTTGATCAAGGCTACAGTCTCACCATTTAACTATCTCATAAATATCTTCTAATGGGTATATTTTTGATGATCAAAAATCAGACACACTCTGACATTTGCTGTTATAACGATCTTTCAAAAAGCCTTGCAATTACCAAGTTGTTTCAAAGTGGTCACTCAAAAGATGAGGAAGGAGGAGGAACATATTGGCTGGGTGTGTGGGTTTTGGATCCATGTGTCTGGGTGCACATCCTGGTTCTGCCACTTACTAGCTAAGTGAACTTGGGTGAATTCTTAATGTGAATGGTGTCTCCATCACTATAAGTTACATGAGTTTCAGTTTCTTCATCTATTAAATGGTATAATAATCCAACCTTAGAGCACTTCTGTAATGAGGTAATCATATAATAGATATAATAGACTACTGGTAATACCACTTTCATTATTTCTACTTAGGGCATACAGAGAAGTAGAAGGCGTGGCACTCTTTAAAGAATTTACAGTTCTGATATGAATACATACAAAATTAAACTGTGCTAGGTATGAAATAGTATTAAGGAATTAATTACTGAGTTGTGCTGATGATAATAGCCTAATTATAGATGAATTCATGAGAAGACTGGAACTAAACCCAGTAGATAACATTTGTTAAGAACCTGCTACATATGCCAGAAACCTTTACATATAACTTCACTTAATTATGAAGTGAATTTCACTTAACACCCACAGTTATAAGGTGCCACCTTAAATTTGCAATATTAATATAAATAGGGTAAAAGAAGAGTTTTGAACAATAGAAAATCAGGCATCGTGTGATTTGCCAAAATGCAACAGAATTCAGAACAACAAGGGACTTGAAAATTAACAGCTAGGCAAAACTGTGCATGGTAGAGGGGTGAGTGAGGTAAGGGACTGACTTGAGAAGGAAGGGAAATGGGCAGGATTCAAGAAGAGAGTTAGCCCAAAGTTGGCTGTAATAAGTTGAATTCTGGGCCCAGGGAGTAGAAGGGTGGCCTGTAGATACAGTGACCCCTTTTATCTCTTGGATAATTTTAGCTTCTTGGCAAAGCTAAGAGTAAAGAACGAATACTGACCCCATGATACCCAAATATTAAATGACTATGATACTTTTGTTTGTTTTATTAAGAAGGGAAGATTTGTGTGTCTTATTTTTAAGAGCCCTCAATTGCTACAGATAATAAAACCTAGTTGCAACACATTCTTGTTAATAACAGAGTACATTTATTTTGAAAGAGAATCAAATCAGGACATACCAACTGCCAATATAGTTTTTGAAATATAAAATAAAGGAAAAATTGCCAATAGTAGATACTGATGATATATGGAAGCAAGGGATATAACCATACACTTAATTGGAAGATAAAAGGTCTCAGCTTCATGAATCATGCAAAAGGCAAAAAGAAGGTTGCTAAGTTTCTATATGAACAATTATCTTTCAAATGTGGTTTGATGACCCTGTATTGTAAATCCAAATCTAAAATATTTTCAGAAATAGAAGCTATAAAATATGCTAGAACCTAGTAATTGACCAATTAATCTCTGCCTATTGATTAGATTTTCTTTAGGTTTGGTATATGATAGTATTTTGCTTAGTGGACATATTAAACAAATATTTTCTTAAGATTAATTTTTAAAGTTTATAAGATTTGGAAATGAAACCCAATGAATGTAGAAACACTTCTCTCACGGAAAGGTCAGGGAATGGCTTTAGTAATGGATTCAATGGCCCTAGGGAAGAAAACAAATGTTTAAAGTCACATATCATGTACAAGGGCTTTGCAGAAACCGTCTCACTGAATGCTCATGACCATCTTTTTGAAAAGGAATTCATTCCTAGGTTATAAGTGAAGGAAGGCGTCACCAAATGTCACAAAGTCACATAGTTACTAAGTGGTGGAGTTTGGTCATTAGAGGGCAAAACAGGGGAGAGAAATGTGACTTTACAACACTCAAGAAAAGTGAAGCTGATGGAAGTGGGGAATGTAGCACTCCTCATTATTTCAGAGAGTGTTCTTATTTTCTGTCTGCTCTGGGTTGTTCACTCTTTTAACTACCTAGAAAATAACTGCTTAGCAAAATTTCTTTGGCTGCTATGCATGACAGTTATTCAGGAGTCTCCCCCTCTCTAAGCATCAGCATATTTGCTGTCCTTTTGAGCAATTGTATTAAGAACAGTTTTGAATATACATCAGACTTGGCTGAGGTAGGAATACAAATCAATAATAATAAGCATTATTAAAAATAATGGGAGCAGTGGACTCTTATTATGGAAACTTGTGTTAAGTTGGATAATTTGTCTGATTTTAGTGGGTTTCTGTTTTATTTGTGAAACTCAAGATTTGTTAGATAATCCTTGAAGCTTTAGAATCTATTTTATAATAAAAAATGTACAAAATATATCTACTGGACACTGGTGTGTGTCTGGCACGTGCCATGTATTGCAGCCACAGTGGTGAGGAAGATGACCTTGTTGCTGGTCCCCATGGCAATAACTGCCTCCAGAAAGAATACCGGACTTGGAATCAAAAGACTGGAGTTCTGGCTGCTCTGTTTGTTATTTCTGACCTTGGAAAAGTGATTTAATCCATCTTGAGCTAGTTTTCTTCAGCTGTTAAGAATAAAGTTTTGGGAAATTAAGTGAGTATGCAGGAAGAACTTGGGGAACAGAAGTGCTATGCAAGGTGATTGTCATCACTAGCTACAAATGCAGTGGGAAATATACAGGTGTTAGTGGCCTGGGAAAACACAGTAAATAGCTATGCCTAAAAAAAAAGTATACTGCCCTCACAGTGGATATGGAATAGATATGAGTGATGAGCTTTCTGTAGGTAAGCCTAATCATCTCGGCACTGCTAGAGATCTAATCAGGCTGAAGAGGAGGAGTGGTTGCAGTAGGTGAAGCAGATTGGACATCTGCATCAGCTTATAAAGTGTGACTTCTCAGTGCTGTGTTATATTAGGATTCTTGAACCCCCAAATTTGCCTGTATAGTCTTAGTTAAGGTCATTAATAGTCAAGGAATAAATTAACTTCAATTAAAATACAAAACAATGAAAAGAAAAACACCAATGTTTCTTCCAGAAAACTCTTCCTCTTAGCCATGGAGTCTAAAGTAGAGAGGTATAAAGTATAATTGCCTTCATTTCCAATTTATTTCCCAATTAACAGTGACATGGAGGAGGGAGCTAAAGCCAGCTGCAATTTATTAGGCTGCATATCTGAGGTAAGCCCTGTGACACTGCTCTGATTACCCCACCTTGTCCTTCCTTGAAGGGTCAGTTTTCTCACATTCCTCCATAAAGCCTCCCAGATAATGCCAAGCTTGTTTACTCGCCTCCTCAGAAATTAGCTGCATCCCTCCCCTGATATCACAGCATAGCATCCGTTTGTTTACTTAATTTGCTTTGGAATCATCAGTTCTGAGGACTGTTTGTTTGTTTGCTTGTTTTGAATAGTGGCCTGATCAACACCTGGAACTGTGTCTGTTTTCTACTAGACATGGAAATATAGTGCAGTGTTTCCAAGTTCTAATTGTGGACTCAGACAATCCACATTTTGATTCTGGGTTGGGCCATTCACCAGCTTTGATTTCATGGGCAAATCATTCAAGCTCTCTAAGTTCATTTTTCTCATATGTAAAGTGGGGAAAAGGCCAATATCAGTCTCTAGAGTTGTTTGAGTGGGTTAAGTAAGACAACACATGCAAACCACTTAGTCTAGTTTTGCACATTGCAAACACTCAAAAAAAATCATAATTCATCTTGCTTTTAAAAAGCAATAAATATTCATTAAATGCATACATTTGATCTTCCATGGCCATTTTTTAAAATGCCATGGACTATATAAACAAACCAGAGTTTTGAATTCAACAGATTATTTAATTTTGCTTTGATTAATGACTTCTGTAAAGTGATGAGAATAATGCTTCATATAAAGTAAACACCATGATTTTGTTATAATACATATTTATTAAATATAACACTTAAGTCTAGACTGAGCCACTTCTTTTTTAAAAAAACATTTTAATGTTTTATTTATTTCTGAGAGAGAGAGAGAGGCAATGTGAGCAGAGGAGGGTGATATAGAATGTGAAGTAGACTCCAGGCTCTGAGCTGTCAGCACAGAGCCCAACACAGGGCTCAAACCCACAAACCGTGAGATCATGACCTGAGCCGAAGTCGGATGCTTAACCAACTGAGCCACCCAGGCGCACCTAGACTGAGCTACTTCTGAATGTTGAGGTGAGATGAGTAGAAGCTGCCATTCATTCACAGGTGGAGAGGGAGCACAGTGTTCATGGGTTCACAGATCTACCAGCTATCCTCTTGACTGCCAAGAAAAACAGCCCTGAGGCCAGGGTCAAAGAAGGAGATGTCTCCATTGCTAGTATGGCAGAGCAAGGAAAGGGCCTGGCTTCTCTTTCCTCATAGCCTGACAGCACTCCACCATAATGCTTGTCATTATGATCATCTGTTTAATATTTGGCTGCCCCACCAGGCTATACTTCCTGGGAAAGTCAGAAGCCAAGTCTATCTCTTTCACTGTTGTATCCCCAAGCACTTGGCATGGTACCTGGCACATAGTAGGTGCCCAATAAGTAATGCTGATTAGATGGAATTAATTTTGTGACCCTTAGGTAATCCAATCTCAGTGAGTCATCAGTAAGGCACATTTAATTCTGAGGCACTATTCTGAAGACTGGAACTATATGGGTTTACCCCGAGTTCCTTTCTCACTCTAGGTGTT